ATTCAGAAATAAAACATGCATATACCCTTCTAGTGCTAAATTAATGCATCCTTGATGAATAAAAGTATTATTAAAAAAAAAAAGAAAAAATCTTACTGACCCCAAACTTTTAAAGAATAGTGTACATAATAGCTATAAAATAATATAAAAGAAAAATAACTCATGAACATGCCTTAATGTATAATGAGCCTAATTTACATAGAAAGTAATAGTGTTTTTTATTATTACAGGAACATATTAGTTATGAATAGATTTTATAGACAGCGCTGTGATGCATGTGCTATAGAGCTATTTCAAGAAAAACAAATATTATACTTTACATAATTTAATTATAATCAATATGAAAGTACATTTTTGGTTTGAAGTAACACCTGGAATTGTTAAAATCATCTCACTTCCAGGAATAAAATACCCACACAGAAATAATGCATAATAGGGTTTATTAATAGTACACTTGTGTGGTTACAGCTCAATATGTTATATAATCAAAAGAGCCAGTTTTGGATTTTTTATAAATAATGCATTAAATTGCATATACGCTGCATATAAAAATTATAATATATAAATAAATTTGATTCAGTTTTTAATTATTTTATAAATATAATATGTGTTTATAAAAAAGTTATGAATGTAAATATAAATGTATATAAATGGTGTAAATTATATAAATAAATTATATATTTTTTCATAAATTCTGTAAATAACTTGTGTATAAATGATGTAAATTATATAAAGGTATAAATAAATGATAGAAAAATAAACATTTTAGATTTTTATAAATTCTGTATTAACTTACATATAAATAAATTGTACAAAATGTAAAAAAAGATTTATTTAAAATATAAAAGATATTCAGTTTTTGATTTCTATAAATTATGCTTTAAATGATATATAAATGTGACCCTGGAGCACAAAAGCAGTCATAAGCAGCACAGGTATATTTGTAGCAATAGCCAACAATACATTGTATGGGTCAAAATTATAGATTTTTCTTTTATGCCAAAAATCATTAGGATATTAAAGGGATAGTTCACCCAAAAATGAAAATTAGCCCACAAATTACTCTAATTACTCAAGTCATCCTAGGTGTATATTGACTTTCTTCTTTCAGACGAATCCAGTCGGATGGAAAGCTTATTTATTCAGCTTCCATATTTAGAAAAATTGTCCCTTAAGACTAGTTTTGTGGTCCAGGGCCACAAATGATCTGAAAACAATGCAGTGAACATTTTGTGCTGTAGTTTTCCATCAGTACAGTAAAGCCTTGTTTCTCTCTCTCAGCCTCTGAGGTCTTTGCGGAAGCTGCTTCATCTCACCTCCTCATCCTCGTCCTCCAACCAAACCTCGGCAGATCTCCACTACCCCCTGCCCTCCTCCAAAGGCGGCGGGAGTTTCGTGGAGCCCCGCGGCCTCGGCTCCATGCAGCCCAAGGGCCGTTCGACTGCGTATGGGGCCCCGGGGCCCCTGGAGTCCGGCTGGCACTCCAGCGCTCTGGACCGTCCCAAGGGAAACCCGTATCCTGACCAGCTGACCTCCAAACCGGGCCCCAACGGCTTCGCTCGCCACTTTCGTTCACGTTTGCCAAACCTGAATGACCTTAAAGAGACGGCGCTGTGAGTCGGACTCACGGCGGCCCCTAATGGACCTTCTTTTCTTGCGTATTAAGGGTAGGCCTATATGTCTTTTTTTTGTTGTTTTTCTTTTTTAGTTTTTAATATTTGATAGCACTTCTTATATTATTTATGTACTGTAATTACTGTATTTTTTGTTATCTGATAATACAATCTAAAAGCAGATGATATAGCTCTATGTAAATGGGAATATATAAATGTATAACGCTGTACGTGCAGCTTTAGTTTCTACTCTGGTTGTAGTATATAAACATTATCTGATTCTGCATAGCTACTCTTATATTTGGCTAAAGGTTCTGATGATTCATGTATAGATGACAGTATTGACATTTATTTTATAGTTATAGAATAAGACTACAGTATATATAGATATTACGACTTTGTCTTTGAGTATTTTCTGTTCACAATTCAGTGAATATCAGTAGATATTAAGAGTAACAGTAATTAACGGTAAGAATGCGCGATTATATGTGCGTGTGCTTCCCAGATAGCGCACGTATGTTGCTTTAAATGTCATATTTATGTGTAAATTAATTCTTAAATGTTGTGAATGTAACACACAACAGGAACGACAAACACTAGCAAATAATTCAGATTTTTAGAGCAGTCTCTTCTGCTCAAATCTGTAATTTTTTTAATTAAAAATACGGTAAAAACAGCAAAATTGTGAAATATTTTTACAATTTAAAATAGCTGTTTTCTATGTGAATATCTGTTAAACTGTAATTTATTCCTGTGATCAAAGCTGAATTTTCAGCATCATTACTCCAGTCTTCAGTGTCACATGATCTTCAGAAATCATTCTAATATGCTGATTTGCTGCTCGAGAAACATTTCGGATTATTAGCAATGTTGAAAACATTTATAATGTTACAAATGTCATCAAAGAATCATGAAATAAAATATTGAGTACCAATAATTGAGCAGCAAATCAGCATATTAGAATGATTTCTGAAGATCATGTGACACTGAAGACTGGAGTAATGATGCTGAAAATACAGCTGCGCATCACAGAAATAAATTACATTTTACACTATATTCATATAGAAAAGAGTTATTTTCAATTCTAATAATATTTCATTTTTTTTCTGTTTTAACTGTAATTTTAATCAAATAAATGCAGCCTTGGTGAGTAGAGACATTAAAAATCATAATTATTCCAAACTTTTGACCCGTAGTGTACTGCAGATGCTGAAGGGTCTAAAAGTGACAGAAAAAAACGTCCCGACAACATGCGTGCGCTATCTAGGTTTCGTGTGGGTCTTTTGTTAGTCTTTACAAATCACAGCCAGTGAAATTTCTTAAGCCTTTTAAATAATTGAAGCAAAAACGTCAACCAAATCTGACCAAATCAAATGAAATGGTGTGGCTCCACCTACTGGCCATTGAGATCCACTGCAAAAAAAAAATCTGAGTATATGATGCCTTTTTTTATTTTTAAAGCAAGATTACTTTTTACTATATCTTATCAGTCTTTGATTCCCTCAGGTATAGAGTTCTTTGCAAATACAGTTTTACATGCAATATCTGGATATCAGATGTCGAAGCTCTTTAGATTGTTTCATGTTTCTGTTTAGGGAAATAGAGCCAGTGTGTGTATACATGAGGAGGAGAAATAATAATAATAATAATTTATTAATTTTATGCAATATGTAATTTCACATTCGCCAGATAATCTTCTAAATAAAGCTCAAGGTTCCTGGAGGCGTTTTGTTTTCCTCTCAGCTGGTTTTTACATGAATGATTCATATGTCAGTCGGGTACACGAGATGTCAAACGCCAGGATTTCCTGGAAAACCGAACTCGATTACACATCAGCGATATGCATCTCATTTTTATTTCAGAGATATGTATAGGAACTATCCTCGAATCATCTAGATTATTGAGAATATTGATCATAAACTGGTCAATTAGACGCTAATGGTCCTTGTGTCTGAGGTTTATTCATCAGTCTCTTCTACTGCCACACGTTTCATATCGCAGGATTGTCATGATGGATGGTGTTTCACTCTATATTCATGTGCTCTTCAGCTGCAGGGAGGAGTTGAGATGCTAATGAGCTCATTTGAATAACCATAAGACTGTCTGTTTTAAAAAAAATTCATGAATAAAACCAAATCAAACCAAATCAAGCGTGAACTGTCCTTTAGTGGTGCACTTGAATGTTTTTCTGTCTTAAAAATATTTTGTGTAAAACTACACGAGGAGAGCAAATGCATAGAATGGTTGACTTTTTTTTTGCTAGCAGACGTCTTCATTGAACATTGAACAATTGCAAAGCTAATTTTAGCATTGCCTATAATCTCCTACACCCTTGATGTTAGCACATGCTAAAGCTTGTTATTATGTCTTATTTGAAATGACTTATTTCAGTATTAATAGCAGTTACTAGGTCGGCACCATCAAAAACAACGTTCCCATATGGTTCCTATTTGGTTATTTATTTTGAAAACCATATAAGAACATTCTTGGAATCAAAAATTAACTTTCCCAAACAAACAAGCAAAAAAAATTTTTGTATTGATTTTTTTTAATAAAAAATAAAAACTAACCTCCTCTGAAATTTGTGATAACCTAAATTTTGGGAATCAAAAATTGTTAGCTGGGCGGTTAGTAATTTTAAGACAGGATTTTCCATTTTGTTTTATACCTGATTAGCTCAACACTGAGTCTCTTTATGTGTTAATTAAATTGCTAATGTCTCTCTAACATGGAATTTTTTCAAAAAGACGTGAATTACATTAACACCAGTGTGCGAGTCTTCTTCTGGTTATATTTACAGCCATTTATTAGATAATAGTAGTTTATTTTGGTGGTTGTGCTGAGTCAGAAACAGCCGCTAGCAAAGCTAGCTAGCTAGTTTACAGCCTTTATCTGTGGTAATGAATTTTGACAGTTTTAAATGCAGTTACTAGGAAGCTCAATGGTTGTTCACATGTTTTCTGACTTAATAAATCAATATGGAATTTATTCAATTATCATTTCAGAAAGCAAAATGGACTGTTCCTCTTTTTTGTAAACTTCGCAAAGATCAGCAAGTCATTTATAATAATAAAGCAGTCCTCTTGTTTTAGGCCAAAAATGCTTATTTGTTTTATTTTGTACACACAGAAGCTACAGTTATATGGTATTATTTCAAATTGCCTGTTACCTACTGATCTGAGTATATGTGACTTTATAAAGCCTGTGAAAACCCAGCTAAAGTCATTTTTTTGTGATTTACTGTTTTCTACATAAAATCATCCTTTATAAAGATAAAGAACATTCTGTGAAAATATAACCTTTATATCTTTAATATTGACTGAGTAAGGCCATGTCAAAGATTGAAATCATGGTGAAATTAATGGTTGAAATCAAACTTTGATGCTTGTTATCTCAAAATTAGATTTTGAGAATTTAGCCTGGATTTCACAGACAGGGTCACATATTTTACTGTAGTACCTAAAGCTGTTCTTAACCCGTGACGCATTTGTTCATGCACATGAGCAGCTCCAGGCGTAGGGCGATGCGCGTGTGCCAGCCCAGAGGCAGGATCCGCAGGTACCGCGCTACGATGGGCGGACGCAGCAGGTTCTGGACCGTGGAGGATCGGTCCGTGTTTCCATAAAACACCTGATGGATGAACACAAGCCATAAACATCATTAAATGATAGGGAGTTCATGCCAGTATACTCACTACTGACTAATCCAACATTGCCATCAAAAGCATTAGCTATGTTTCCATACAAAGATGCGAATTTAACTTATGCGCAAAAGTGGAATATCGCATAAAACATTTGCGAATAAAGCACCGTTTCCATCCAACGAGTCAAAGAGAGCAAAATTGTCACTTCCTGATAATCTAGCACTAAATATCAATATGAAAATTTGGAGAAGCCACTAGCTGTGTTTCCATCTACCTATTTTTATGCGCATTTTGGACTATCGCATTAAAAAAAAAACGCTGGATGGATACGCCAAGATGCACATAAATTCTAAAAATGCGCATAAAAAACTTATGCGCACATTTGAGTAGGATAAACTTTTTATCCGATAAGAAAAAATGCACATGAACTACGGGAAGCATTTACCGAATAAATTCCTTTATATTATGATCGTTTTGAAATGCCTGAGCAAAGTCTGTCGTCAAAGTATTTCTGTAAAATTGTCTTACACGACTGCGTTCCCAGCATCCGCCTCCGAAAGCAATGACTGCATTTATTGTGTTTCGTCTGCTCGCTCTGAGACGCGAGTAATTTATCATATATGAAAATGATTACATTCAGTGGCTTCTCCTAGTTTTATTAGTGATATTTAGTGCCAGTTTACCAGGAGATGACGATTTTGTTCTCTTTGACTCGTTGGATGGAAACTTATTCGCAAATGTTTTATGCGATATTCCAGTTTTGCGCATAAGTTTAATTAGAACCTTTGGATGGAAACATAGCTACTGAATAAAATAATTTTCATATCTGATAAGTCAAGTTACTTATATAGCGCTTTTTACAATGCAGATTGTGACAAAGCAGCTTTACAGTATTAAAAAAGGGAAATAGTGTGTCGAAATAGTGTGCCGTTCTCCTCTGGTCAGACGAGACCAGCAGTTTAATTCTAGGCACTGGCCAGACGAGACCAGCAGTTTAATTCTAGGCTGCAACAAGGTCATATTGTGCAGAGGATTCATCTGGTTCCCAGATTAGTTTTTTTCTTATCGAATAAAACGTTTATCCTACTCAATTGTGCGCATAAGTTTATGTGCATTTTTAGTATTTATGCACATCTTGGCATTTCCATCCAGAGGTTTTTTGTGTGATATTCCAAAATGTGCATAAAAATAGGTGGATGGAAACATAGCTATTATCTCCTGGTTTTATAGACAAGGTTTAAGCTTAGTCCCAGACTAAAATGCATGTCTGTGCTGTTTTAACTGAAAGAAACTTGCACTCTCTGATCTTAACATATGTCAGTTTCATTGTTTTGTCTCAAGATGCACACCAGTAGTGTTTTTATCTAAGGCATTTTATTTAAATGTCCTAATTGAACTATGGCCTAATGCTAGTTTAACCTAAACCCTGTTTGTGAAACCGGGCCTATCAGACATGTGCCCTGTGTTTTTGGATAGGACACTTCACAGAAATTAGGCAATAATGTGGTAAAACTTTGTTGTTTTGGCACTTAATAGTAATAGATAGATAGATGAATGGATAGATGGATGGATAGATTACCATTTAAAAGCGTTTCACACCAAGAACCATAACTGTAAAAGGTATTACTAGCAACCTTTATTAGCGCCCACACCAACGGATGATAACGTTCAGTTTATTATAAGCGTGTGCTGCAAAAATGTTTAAAGGTTCGTGCTCTTTAAAATTCAGAAAGATTGTAATTAGCTGTAGAGGTTTATCATTCATCAGCGGGAAAATAATTGAAAGTGATTCCAGCAATATCATTATTAGTTATGGTGTGTACTTCGCTATTCTCTTAGAATTAGAATGATAAATAAAACAATATTTATAGTTATTGTTATTGTCTTTGGTGTGAATGGAATGCTCGTTAATGGAAGAACAAGAGGCTAGTATTAAAACTTGACAGTGTTACTGATGTTTTTTCACATCACGTCAGTTGTAAGAGAAATCCTTTTGATTTGACTCAAATACTTTTGTATTTTAAGTCTTTTACCCTGTTATTCCCGGTCTGGTCTTTGTAATAGATCCAGTTGAGGTTTTCTTGGGTTCGGTACTGCAGGCTGTATTTCGTTGTCCATTCGTCAGCATCACAGCGGCCCTGAGCCAGGATACCCGAGACCACCCGCACCTCCTGGAGGTCGATCTGAAGCCACTGATTCGTGTCCTGGAATTTGGACAGCCAAGCACAGCTGCGACAAAGCGGAAAGTCAGTCAGTGTCCGCTTTATTATGACCCCACACAAGTTAAATCAGATTTAGTGCTAGTCATTTTGGTAATGGTGAAACCCAAGCTTTAATTTCAGGCTGGTTTAGTGCTGCTAGAGGGTTTTTCTGAGACACTTACCCAAACCCTTGACTGTTCAGTCGAGCTTTATTTGGGGTCCATGAGGAGAACCAGCCCACGTACTGATCCTGGTTTGAACAGGTAAGCTGCTCCGCCATCACTGACCCGGACTCAAACCCCAGTGGCTTGTGGTAGGGACACTCTGGAAACAAGGAGATTTGAAACCATCAGGTCATGCCCACCATCTCGAGAACAACATGTTCAATGTGATTTACACAAGCAGGACCAACATCCACCAGTTCCTGGAACTCAAACAGGTAAACTGTCAACAGGAAGTGATGCATCGTGATGCAGTTTTGTAGGCCAAAAGCAGAATGTTAGCATGAACCTGGTTACCTGTACAAAAACCCAATAGGATTTTTCCAATGGCTTTAGGATTATTGCAGAAAACAAGCTCTGTGACCAATAAAAGTTTATGATTCACATTTTGTTCGTCATGATAATCTTCACAATTGAACACAACTGAAGCCTAAATTCAATCGCCAGAAGTAAAAAGCTAAATGTAGGCTATTAACAGACTACACAACTGTCACATGACTTCAACGTCACCACCATTAAGTTTCTGAAACTTAGACACTTGTTAGCAGATGTCTTTTTTAAGACAAAAAAAAGCTTTTTAAGGGGTATTACAGATATATTTCATGTTGTAGAATAACATGAAGCCAGCAGAAAAAACAATCCGCACACGGTCAAATGCAGGGCAAAACCTCAAAAAATCTTTATTATAATGCTTAATCAGAGGCCGTAAAAAAGTGCAAAAGTGAAAAGTGCAAAACGTTTTCGAGACAAAAGCTCTTCCTCAGTGCCACATTGATTAGTGCACACCTGCACCCATTATAACATCAATATTCACCATGGACATCATATGCACGCAGGCCCAAAAACACCATACAATGTATCCAATTTTACCTTAAGACATTCCTATAAATATATTTTAATGGTAAAAAATTCCTCAATGCAAAAATACCTTAATACAACATTATTAATGTAAAATGCAAAAAATGTTTCATACATAATTTCACCCATAGATCTTATAAATGTTTCTTGTACACATATATCACAAAAAAACTATTCAAAACCAATTCCTCATTCATACCAAGGGGATATAAAGACCTCAAATCAAAAATCCATTTGCATTCTCTGTTGTAGAATAAAACATGAAAATATATTGTGCTTATTTAAAACCTTATTGGAGGCATTTAACCAAAAATCTATTGACTTGATGGACGTGATGGAAGCAGAAGTGATAAAACACAATTTTGCAATTGGCCTACAAAAACACGTCATCCCTGCAGCATCCAGAATATGAATAAAATGAACACAAACTCATGCTTTGAATGTCATATAATATTGAATGAATGAGGCATTTATATAGCACTTTATTGTGTATTGCTATACACCCAAAGCGCTTTACAATCATATGGGGGGGGATATATTGGCGGTTATTAAGCCTCTTATTAAGAAACCACAACTAGATCCTAGTGAACTGGCAAATTACAGACCCATTTCAAATTTTCTGTTTATGTCTAAAATGTTAGAAAAAGTTTTGTCTGCTCAATTGTGCTCCTTCCTGAAAAAAAATCATATCTATGAAGTATTTCAGTCAGGTTTCAGACCCCATCATAGCACAGAAACGGCACTTGTTAAAATTACAAATGACTTGCTTCTTGCGTCAGACCAAGGCCGCATCTCATTGCAAGTTTTACTTGACCTTAGTGCTACGTTCGACACCATAGATCATGACATACTCATAGATCGATTACAAAACTATACAGGTATTCAAGGGCAGGCTTTAAGATGGTTTAAATCCTACCTGTCTGATCGCTACCACTTTGTTTATTTAAACGGGGGATCATCACAATTAAATCCAGTAAAGGTTGGAGTGCCACAAGGATCTGTCCTAGGCCCTCTGCTATTTTCAATGTACATGTTGCCCCTTGGTAATATTATTAGAAAATACGGGATTAGTTTCCATTGTTATGCTGATGATACTCAATATTTCAAGAAGACCAGATGAAACTTCTAAATTATCTAAGCTAACAAAGTCTGTTAAAAATGTAAAAGACTGGATGACCAATTATTTTCTCCTATTAAATTCGGATAAGACAGAGATATTACTTATTGGACCAAAAAACAGTACACAGAATCTCTTGGATTACAATTTGCATCTAGACGGATGTACTGTTACTTCCTCTACAGTCAAAAATCTGGGTGTTATATTAGACAACAACTTGTCTTTTGAAAATCATATTTCCCATGTTACAAAAACAGCATTCTTCCATCTTAGAACATTTACATTTAGTAATTTAGAAGATGTTTTTTTTCCAAAGCAACTTATAAATGAGAACAATGGAAGCAATCAAAATCAACAAAAGAGCAATGATATGCAAGTGCTATAACAAGACTCAGTTAGCTTAATGCAGTACACGTAGCAAGGTTTTTTTCTTTTTAATTATATATTAAATAAAAAGAAAAACAGATAGAATAGAAAAAGAATAGAGCAAACTAGTGTTAGAGGCCTTTTTTTGCTTTTGATAATTGTATTATAAATAAAAAGAAAACAAATAGATAGAACACAAAAAGATTAGAAAAGTTAGTGCTAGTTTTTTTAATTTATTTTTTTTTATATAGCGTTACAACAGAGAGTGCTAGAGTTAGAGGGTCAAAAAAAAAGATGGAAGAGATGTGTTTTTAGCCGATTCTTGAAGATGGCTAAGGACTCAGCTGCTCGGATTGAGTTGGGCAGGTCATTCCACCAGGAGGGAACATTTAATTTAAAAGTCCGTAAAAGTGATTTTGTGCCTCTTTGGGATGGATTTGCAATCCATGCGTGGAAGAATGACTAATCTCATACTGCATGCACGTCTAATTTGATTGCATGTTTGATTCAGTTAAAGGCTGCATTTCCTCTCTAATGCCGGGAATTATTTCCAGCTTTAATCGACCTTACACAAGATAACCTCAAACTAGAGGAGACATACTGTCTGTTTGACAGCTCTCAAGAGCATCTTGATTTTATATATATATATATATTATTTTTTTTTTAATTATTTTTTCTTTTTATTTTCTGTATGTACGACGACTTTTAAATCTTAGAAACATTGCCAAGTTACGGAACATGCTACCTGTTTCTGATGCAGAAAAGCTAGTTCATGCATTCATGACCTCTAGACTGGACTATTGTAATGCACTGCTAGGT